AGGTACAGTCACTGCCCCTTGCCCTCTGCCCCTGCTCTGGGTGGTGTGGTTTGGGGTAGGTGTTTCTAGAGGGTCACCTGGGAGTCGGAGCTGGTGACTGGGCATCTTTGTCTGGGCTCCGTCTGTGTGATGTCTCTCCCTCCCCCCCACACACTGCGTGTGGGCCTCTCTCTCCCTCCCCAGTGTGTGGCGTGGCCTCCCAGGGCGGAATATTCCTACAGCCAGAGCTGAGGCTACAGCCTCTCTGCTCCCTTCCTGACAAGGGTTACCCACCCTCGGGGCATCTACAGCTGGTCGCCAGTTACAGGACATCTGGAGCCAGGGGGCTATTGCTGGTCACAGTCGCTGGTGTGTGTGTGTGTGTCTGAGTGTGTGTGAGGGTGGCCAGGTAGCCTTTGGGAGGTACAGTTGGTGGAGAGGCTGAGCGTGGTAGGCCGGCAAGCCTACCCCTGTGGGTCAGCGGCAGGGGTCCCTAGGGCAGCTGGCTGGTGCCGCAGGTGGCCAAGGGGAGTGGTGGTGAGGGCAGGGCAAAGCACTGAGACAGACAGGTGACGACTGCCACCAGTCTGACAGTGGGATGGAAGCACCGATTGGCCCGGGAGGAGGCCAGAAAGTCCAGGCTGGGGAGGGACGGGGGCAGTGGGAAGGTCTCAGGCCACTGAGCCAGTGATGGGGCCTCTGGCTACAGGCAGCTGGTATTTGACAGCAGGGAGGCCCGGAGCCCAGATGGAGAGCCCCCACTTATCACAAAGGCTGAATGACAGCTTGACAGGTGAGTGCGACCCCCCCCAGCCTGCCCAGGAGACAAGGAGGGGAGGGGTCAGTGTGCGTGCATAATATTGGGGAGACAGGGAGCCTGGCAGACCTCTCTTCACATCTTCCACTGCAAGGTCCCCATACCTACCTCCAGCCAGAGGTGAGAGGCAGCAAGGCTGGGGACGGTGGGCATGGGGGTGTTGGGGGAGGGAGGACGGCTGAGTCCCCTTCCCCAGCCCACCCAGTCACACACACACACACACACACACACACACACACACACGCAGGCTCACACTCACACACACCCACACCCACACCATGAGTCAGTTGACAGCCTGAGCTAAGAGGGGTATGGGGCGGCAGGGGTGGGTCACAATCGGGAACGTGAACGGGTGGTGAGAATGGCTGTAGAAAGATGCATAATTTTGCGTTATCCCTCACAGTGATGGGTTCTCTAAAGATCTTTCTTCCTCCTCCTCCTCTTCCTCTCTCCTTCCTCGGTGGGTGGCCCAGAGCTCTTCTGCCCCCTCGAGACCCGCAGCTCCTGCTCCCCCTTTTCTCTTGCTCGTGGCCCGAGGCCCCCTGCAGGGGGAGGCGAGCTCCACTGGGTTGCGCCTACATTCTCCACCACAGCCAGCCCAGGGCAGAGAGGAGGGTCAGGGGCCCTGGGGGCCTGGGGGCCGAGTTCTCCAGGGATCCTGGACCTGGGGGAGGAGAAGGGGTCATGGAGGGAGGCCTGGGACGGGGAGACCCCCTGGGCGCCCTGCCTCTTTCTTTAGGTGCCTTTCTGGGTCTCTCGTGCCTCTCAGATCTTCCCCCACATCTTTTTGACCATCTGAGCCTGGGGCCCTCAGTGTCTGTCTTTCTGTCTTACAGATTATGTCTACTTGGCATTTCCAGCCCGTTGTCTTATACTCAGCATGTCCACAGCTGCTGTCCTTCTCACACACTGTTTAGCGGTTCTCCTCCCCCTCGATATGTCTCTGTCAATACTTCAGTGCTATGTCCCCATGCACCCAGCTGCTCGAGCCAACACCTCGAAATCACCTTTGACTCGACTTCCCTCTTCCCTCACTCAGTCCAATGACTTAGCCCTATGGGTTCTTCCTCCAAACCGTCTCCTCATGCAGACTTAGTGCCACCCACCGTCGCTTGCTCAAATGCCTGGGTGACTACAGCAGCCTCCTCCCTGGTCTCCCTGCCTCCGCCTTTCCCCCACCTCCATCCCTCAAATAGCAGTCAAAATGCTTCTTTAAAAGTGTCAACCACAGGTCACTCCTCTGCTTAATTACTTCCAGGGACCTCGCCCTGCAGTAAATTCAACTCCAAACTCCTTACTGTAGCCCTTGAGATTCTCTGGCCTCTGCCTCCCTCTTTAACCTCGGATTCCACATGATCGTTCTGCTGTGGTTATGCTAGCCTCCTTGCTCTGCCTTTGCTTACGCTGTTCCCTTTGTCTGCAAAGCTCTTCTTGCAGATTTTGGCAGCGCGGATTTCTCACCATTGGGGTCTCAGTTTAAATGTTACCCTCTCCAGGAAGCTTCCTCTGGTGAGTTTATCTCGTAGCTACACCCTCTCTCTTATTTAGTTTTTCTCAGCCCTTCTCGATATCCAAAATTATTTTTCGTTCATGTGTGTGCTTATTTATTTAGTTGGAGTCTCACTCTTGTCACCCAGGCTGGGGTGCAGTGGCACGATCATGGCTCACCACAGCCTCCTGGGCTCAGGTGATCCTTCCGCTTCTGCTTCCCAAGGAGCTGGAACTACAGACGCCTGATATTTTCGTAAAGACGAGGTCTCGTTATGCTGCCCAGGCTAGTCTCGAACTCCTGGACTCAAGCAATCTCCCCTCCTCGGTCTCGCAAAGTGCTGGAATTGCAGGCGTGAGCCACCGCGCCTGGCCAGTGTTTGCTTATTTGTCTATATGTCTGTTTATTGCTTTCTACTTGTGTTAGACTATAAGTTCTGCAAGTCTCCAAGCCTTCTTTGGAGCGCTCTTGTGTCCCCCACGCCCAACGCCCGACCCTTAGTGTGCGCTCAGCGGAATTGGGTTTCTTGCTCAGGCGCTTCGCTTTAGCGTCGGTCTCCAGAGTTTTGAGTCAGCCTGGGGGGCGGTCCCGGCGTCTCCGTCTCTCTGGCCCCGCCCCCGCTGTCCCCACCCCTCCCGTCAATCGGACACGCCCCCTGTCCCTGGCCTCACCCCTCCCGCTGTCCCGGGC